CGCCAGCCCCTGGCACACTTCGGCATTGGCAAGAGCAGCCTCCTCGACCTGGCTGGCCCTTCAGGCAGTCAGGAGGCAGGCCGTGCATTGGCAAGAGCAGCCTCCTTGGCCTGGCTGGCCCTTCAGGTAGTCAGGAGGCATGCCGTGGATAGGCAAGAGCAGCCTCCTTGGCCTGGCTGGCCCTTCAGGCAGTCAGGAGGCAGGCTGTGGATAGGCAAGAGCAGCCTCCTCGGCCTGGCTGGTGGCAGGCCGTGGAAGTATATAGGTACCCCGTTAGGCACTTCACGATTCATTCAGGAGTTGTAGTCTTCAGGATAAGGGAGCAGCACTCTAGAGGGAGCACTGCAGTGTAGTAGTAGTAGCGTTAGCTTGTAGTCTTCAGCACTGGGCGCAGTAGGTAGCTGTAGTCTCCAGCGCTGGGCGCCATAGCTAGGTAGTACTAGAGAGAGAGAGAGAGTACCTGCAGCGCCGTTGCTCCAGCTTCGTCTTCGAGGGACCTGCGGCACAGCGCCAACATCATAGGTTAGTATCTGGTTCGTAACAGAGAAAGAGAGAGAGTTCTTCTTCTTCCTCTTCTCAGTCCACCAYCTCTTCTCTCCCTCTCAACTTCTGACTTCACTGCATCTGCAGACTATGAGAGAAGAGATACAGAGCTTGGTGACATTTGATCCAGACTCGACTTTTGGAAGTTCAGACATGGCAACGAGGGACTATTTGGGATTGGTGACCAAGACTTGGTGTTAACGACATTCCCATCCTTCTCCCTCCTTTCGTCCGATCCTTGTCTCTTCGTCTGTGTATGTCTGGACCTGGCGCTTTCTTCCTGTGTACAACGCCAGGCTCCTTCACACTCGGTGATGGATATCATGCATGTTTATTCTGAGTTCAAACATTGATTGGGCTAGTTAGTACTACTCTAGCATTCTATTTCGCTACTCTGAACTACGTGAATGAGGTCAGTCCTGTCAGGTCAGTCTTTGTATCAAAGTCTTCCCTGCGCTATTCAGCACCTTTTGTATGTATGAGAATGTACATTGTTTGTCGAGATTCTGCTCGCACTATATTGTCCAGTCAGTCCTTTTCATCACACTGCAGTTCCTCGGTTATTACGTACATTGCATATCTGTGCATGTAACATTAGCCAATCTGATGCGTGCGTACACCTGGATAGGGATGAAGAATGACTGCATAGAGTATGTCCGCAGTTGTAAAGTGTGCTAGAGGAATAAGACTACTACACGCGCGCCCTTAGGTCTTATCAGACCTTTGCCTATTCCTAATCAACCTGAAGACTCAGTGTCCATAGATTTCATGGATACTCAGGTCAAGAGTAGGCATGGAAAGAGCCAAGTCATGTTCATAGTCGACCGTTTTAGCAAGTATGCCGTTTTTGTTCCCTTGCCTGCAGAGGCTCGTACGGATTTAGTGATACAGAAGTTCTTTGACTTTTGGGTTAGTGAGAATGGAATCCCATTGCCAATAGTTAGCGTTAGAGACAGTCGTTTCACCAGCCAGAACTGGCAAGAACTCATGAGAGTCTACGGATCTAAGCTATTGATGTCGTCTGGCCGCCATCCAGAGACAAACGGTCAAACTGAACATATGAACAAGATCCTACAGCAAGTTCTGCGCATGTACATTAGACCTGATCAGATCAACAGGGACGAGATGTTGCCCAAAGTAGCTAGCGCATACAACAACAGCGTGCATTTGTCCACCTGTCGCACTCCCAATGAGCTGCACAAGTCCTTTAGGCCGCGCAGACCATTGGAAGGACTGAACCGGGATCAGATTCACAGGCTACCGCCCGGTACTAGGGAGTTTGCGATACAGCACGAGAAAGAACTAGCAACAGTTGTAGAGAACCTCAGGAAGGCCCAACACAGAATGATAGAACAGGCCAATAAGCATCGTCACCCATTGCAGTTTCAGGTAGGCGACTTAGTCTGGGTCAAGGCTAAAGAGTTTGCACCTGAGGAAAACATCTCGCAGAAGTTACTGCCTGCTAATAGAGGACCGTGGCCGGTTCTAGAAGTTAAGGCTGGAGAGGATGGACCATCCTACACTATAGAGATTCCAGCATACCTCCACACATACCCTGTGTTTCATGCTTCAAAGCTGCTGCCGTGTGTCACAAGTCAACAGTCCCGTTCAAGAAGATCCATGATCCCCCCGGATATGGATGGAAGCTATAACATTGACGGCATTGTAGATGAAGATGTCTTTAGAACAGGAGGTAGAGGTCGTCCACAGAAACAGTATAAGGTCCGGTTTGCTTATCAGGAACCGGAGGACGACCGCTGGTTTACTAGGACAGAACTTCGAGAAACAGCTCCCGACATAGTCAGAGCCTATGAGCGTGACAAGAAGGGTAAAGGTCCTGCCTTGGACTGAAATATTCTCGGAGGACCTCGAATTTAGGACGGCGGGAGTGAAATGGTTTTCACCTTTTAGCAGTAGCAGATGCAGTACCCAGGGTTCGATCCCTAGACCTTGCCCTACCCATGTACAGTACCGAGAGTCGAACCTGTGACCTGTATATTCGTAGACAGTTGGTAGGTCTGTGATATGTCCATAGGTAGCAGGGGTTCGATCTGTAGGTCTGTAGAGTAGAAGTCTTAGCGAGTTCCAGAAGTCTAGCTGTAGTCCTTCCAGAAGGTCGGCAAGTGGGCAAGTGGCGAGTCAAGTGGTGGACTAAATTGCAGTGCAATGGCAGTACGACTACGGTAGATTAGCAGTGAGTCGATAAGGACCAGTTAGTCCCAGTCCGGCCCAGCAAGTACCACGGGGGACTGTGAGCACCATGGGCCGATGGCAAAGGGCAGACCAACGAGTTTCCGAAGTATAAATCAAGAGGCAGCGCCCAGCCATTCATTCATTCCTGCGTGAGCCATGCGGAAGCGCTGCCACAACGACTTGTGGAAGGAGGTCTGCAGAGAGCTCGGAGCTGAAGTGGGCAAGAGAGAAGGAGCGTAGCATAACGATAGGGTAGAGGCAGCCATAGCTGTCATAGCTGTAGTTTAGTGTGAAGTGTGTGTGTGTATGTGTGAATGTTCAGAGTGACGCGTGTGGGATATCCAGGGTGATCCGGTGTATGTGAACATCGAGTTGTTTGGGCGCTGAGTCGCCATAGCCAGTTGAAAGTGAACTCGTATCTGGATGCCATACCTCTGAGTTTTGAGTGGCCGCACTGTCGCCAGTTTGCTGTGCTGCTGTTTACATGCATGAAAAGTGTGAATGAGAACGAGTCTGATTGCAGTTTGAGCTTCAACCCAGGGTCTGGCACGTTTTGGCATCGGCAAGAGCAGCATCCTGGACGGCCCAGCACTATATAAGACTGGCCCGCCCTGCAGTCTGCAGGTAGTTCTTAGGTACTTCCCAGGCACTTCACGTGCAGTTGAGGAGGCAGGAAGTAGTCTTCAGGGTTTGGTAGCAGCACTCTGGAGGAGCGCTCCAGGAGTAGTAGTAGCGCTAGCAGTAGTCTTCAGCGTTGGGCGCTAGTAGCGTTAGCAGTAGTCTTTAGCGCTGGGCGCTAGTAGGAGCTAGAGTAGTACCGGAGAGAGAGAGAGATTGGGCGGAGGCCAGGGAGACTTACCTGCAGCGCCATAGCTCCAGCTTCGTCTTCGAGGTACCTGGAGCACAGCGCCAACTTCACAGGTTAGTGCCTGGCACGTGAGGGAGAGAGAGAGTTCTTCTTCTTCCTCTTCTCAGTCCACCATCTCCCTCTTACCCTCTCACTATTTGACTTCACTGCATCAGCAGACTACGAGAGAGAGAGAGAGAGAGAGCTTGGTGACGTTTGGATCCAGACTCGACGTTGGGCTTCAGACATTTTGACGGGGGATTATTTGGGACTTGTAACGACGACTTGGTGTTGACGACTTTCCCATCTGCGTCTTTTCCCCTCCTCTTCGACTGTGCATGATCTGGACCTGGCGCATTCTTCGTGTGTGTAGCGCCAGGCTCCCTTCACACCTTGTGATGAAGATGATGTATGTTTAGTCTGCATTGCAACATTGATTGGTGGTTCGTCATTGGTATTCTAGCATTCTGCTGCGCTATCTTGTACTACGTGAAGGAGGTCAGTCCCGGCCAGGTCAGGACTTGTATCTAAGTCTTCCACTGCGCTATATTGTGATGAAGATGATGTAT